ATCAGTGGCAGCAGACAGGTTTGAACTGCAATCCCTCAAAAGCCAAATAAAACATGCACCTATGTAGCATAATTCATAATAAGCAGTTAGTGCATGGGATTAAATTTCAATTTACGCTGAAGAAAATGTTTGATTAATTGTATTTCTAAACATAAGAATAATTAGGAGTAAAACATGTTCATTAAGGGCAGCGTTAGAAGAAGCATGCTCTCCAGTGTAGGCTGACGCTCTTGTTGTTTGAGACTAAATAAAGCCTCTGTGTTGCCTGGCTGTTCAGACTTGTTTTATTAGCTGTAGTGGCACACTGAAGAGGAAGCGTTTATCTGTGCTCAAAGAATAAAAGCCCAGTTTGAAACATTTTTAACAGATCAGTCTTTTAAAACAGAATCACTGATAAACTGCATGACTTGTGCATTCAGAAACAACTGCAAGGTGTCTTCATGGCACCTTAGAAAGCAGCTTTAGGTCCTCAGCAAAGACAAATAAACACTGCAGCCAAATAGGTGAAGGAATGTGATGCAGGCAAATCCGAGTCAAGGAATGACTTCCATTATGCTGATAGGTGCACCAGGAATAATCAATTGACAATCTGCTAACGGCCTGAAACAGTAGGCACACTTCTCTGTTTGTCTTGCTTAGCAAACTTTGGGTTTGTTGATGCAAGCCACTTCCATCAGAGTGGAGACTGTTTTCAGAGACCCAAAAGAGCTGTAAAGTGAGCTTGAGCTTCAGAGGCCTGAATCCCAAAGAACCAGACTCACACAGGAGAGCCTCTCAGTTCCCCTGCCAGGCAACAACATTTGTTTGTCCTCCATGCAGCCGCGACCGCCCAACAGTGCGAACACACCCTGGACGACCGCAGCAGCCCTCTGAAGAGGGGGTTGGGAGCTTCAGAGCTTCGAACGCAACTCAATCACCTCTCTGTGTGAGCTGCACAAAAGCTCTAGTGAGAACGAACAGGCAAGAGTGAGACGATGAAGCTCTAAACAGATGCTGGGGTGTAGCTGACCTGCTGCAGGTAGTGTGCTCTCCAGTTACCCGTTTCCCATGGAACTTGAATTTTAATGTGAGCACACCCAAACAAGAATGGCTCTGCTTTCACCTGGAAGCAAAGCCACACAGGAGAGAAGCCTAGATAACCAGGGAGCTGAAATTTTCAATAAAAAAAATACAATGTAACCTCTCTTATGAGCTATTCCTTCATAAGATATGGTGTTCTGCTTTAATATTATATTTTACTATAACAATATGTGTATTTATACAGTAAAACAGGCTGATCTGCACATCTAGTTCCTGAACACAATGACCAAGCGATAAACTAAATGCATACTCCCGTTCTTTGTGACTGACACAACTTCCCAGTGGTCTTGCCAACTTAATATTCACAACTGAGTGACCCTTTCTTAACAGTTCACCGACTCCATTCAGCTCATAAAAGGCACCAAGGAGAGGAAAGTCACCAGCGACCCAAATTTATTCCACCAATTTTCCTCTCCATAACCTGAGAGGAAAATTATCAAATCAAGATGCTTTAGCATCTTAGCACTTGGGGATTATCTCATACGCACATTCTTCAGGGGCCTGAGATGTGATCCCTCCTGTCAAAATCTAAACTCTGAGAAATCCTTCAGTAAATACTGGGAAGAATGTGAGTCTTGACTTGTGGGAGCTGAGAACACACTGGGCAAATAAACTCAGAGCAATCCAGAGAAAGATGTACGGTAATGGTCCTTATCAGTCTGCACAGAAGCAACATCAAAATTAATATCCTGCTTTTATTGTCCCACTTGGGATGATGATGTTTAACGATATCTGAACAAATTCACAACTGACTTCCAGAGAAAAACGGGCTGAAACCCGCCCTGATATCCATCACTACTGTATTTTATCAGTTTTTATTAATAATAACAAAAAACATACTTTTGATGCCAAAACCCATTTTTATTGCATTATTCTTTTCAACAGATACCAGCTTATTGTGTTGTTGCTAATGTGGATATTGCTACTTCGCCTTTGGACTCTCGTCATTGTTTTTTTTTTTGAGTCACTCCCTGGGTGTATTTTCATTGGGCAATTGCAGACGAAGACTATCTGACTGTTTGAAGAATGTCTAAAGCTTAATTTAATTGTGAGGGGTCTTGATAAGTAGTGGGCCAGCCACAGACCTGCAAATTATGCTCATGTTCATTTATCTACGATGGATGAAAAAATAAAAAGAGTGAACCGGGCTTTAAACATGAACATGAATGTAGTTGCTCCCAAGTTACACTCTTTCTGATCATTTAACAATGTTGTCAAGAAGGTCCAAGGAGGTTTAGATCATGAAAAAATTACCTGCTTTTATTCTTTTTCCTGAGCAGAAGTTGTTCAAAGTTATAAAATAATCTGCACAAAAACAACAGCTGATGTAATCTATCGATTTACGGCATGAATCACAAAGTATCTTAAAAGTGTTTTTGTAAACTATTGTTGTGTTGACCTGACTTTGTGTCACACCAGAGAAAAAAAGTATGTAAACCAACCCGACATAACAGCAAATAACACATGTCACTAGAGCTGGAAGGAAGAGGCAAACAATGTGGTTGTTGTCAGCCATGTTCATTCACATATCTAATGGCCACAACACAGCAAGATGATCAGCGTTTGCCTGAAGGCTGGAATTGAGCATAAATGATAATCTGTGCAACACAACAGAAATATGAGCATCCATGATCCTCAGGAGGCTTATTTTTTTGTGTTGTTGTTCCTGTCATTATATTTCTAATTAGATTGGGGATCAGAGCGTTACATAAGCCAGAAAAGAGACTCCAGCCAATATTATTTTCAAAATTAAGTTTGTATTTAGCAATAAAAATTAATTGAAGTAATAAGATTAAAGAAATTTGCACAAAACAAGAAAATTAAATGATCTAGTTTTTTCGATAAATTAAGAATACTCGTCACATAAAACACACAAGGCTGACCAATATATTCTATTTTAAATGAAAATGATTGACCTGACAGAGCTATAACTAACATGTAATTAGGAGCTGATCGATGTTTGGTTCCTCCAGCACAGACGTGGAGATCTGAGAGTAAACCCTTGTGCCTGTAAAAGGCCGCAGCTATGCGAGAAGACAGCGCATATGTTAACGCCACACAAAGCAGGGTGTCCAATTTGTTTGACTAGAATTAACTTAATTCAATGATGAATGAGCCAAGAAACTTCCCAGCAGCCCGACTTCTCTTTGTCTGATTGTGTGTGCAGAGGAAAACCATGCATCTCCGCAGACCTAATGTTTGACTCGACAACACGGGAACACCCAGCAGCTGTGCGTGATTACAGAAAACCAAATAAATTTTATGGGTTGACACCTGTGGAAAACGAGTTAGCACCATAATGAACACGAGATAAACACTAAAAACGTCTCTTCCAAATCATTAGAGAGCCATATTTCATTTTTACTCCTGCTTTTTCTTAATAGCAGTGAATTAAATCATTGCAACGTTTTATCTCAACCTGATGACATGAAGAATCATGTGTAAACATCTAAACTGGAGCATTCAAGAAGATGAAAATCCTTTTGGGAGTATTCAGCTTCCCCGTTTTCTGCCCAGATAGCTGGCAATAAAAAAAACAGACAACAAACTAGGATGTGGAGCACAAAACAGACAGGTAACCTTTGGTTAATGAAAGACCAGCTCGTGTTGCTTTCACAGCTTTTCTTTCCTGATAAGAGCTGGAAAGGCAGCAGGTGCACTTTGCACACCGAGCTTTATCATAAACACGCCACGTTCACAAACCTTCCAGCTGATATTTGCCGTTTTGACTGATGAACAAGGAATGAAGTTACTGCTCAGGAAAATGTGGCAAAGATAAAAAAAATGGCCCTTATGCAGACTTTTATGTGCACCTATATGAAGTTTGTTCATGGGGTTTAAAATGGGTGTAGCATTCAAATACAGCAACACCACACTCTGGGCCTGTTGCTGTCCAGACTTGCTGATAAGACCTGTAGTGACTAACATGCACCTGCCTTTACACACCCTGGATCAGGTGTGGAGAGTCAGTGTATTGACTTTAAGGTTTAAATAGTCTATAAATGCATACAGTGGTGGGGGTGCAGCTGTGAAGGGAGGAGGAAGGCAGACCGCCCTGCAGCAAATAAAGACATGCTGCAAAAAGAAGGGACCAGAATCACGCTGACTTCTTCTAGGGTTTCCAGTCATAAGAAGGTGCAGATCCACATGGAGATTTTTGCTTCACAGCGTATAAATATTTAAATCCACCGACAAGCCAAGGACACGTGAAGAGGATCTGCAATGCGTAGTTAAGCGGTCTCCATCCTGGTGCGACCAGTGCGCTGCCAAACCCAAAAATCAGCACCTGAACTAACATAAACCTGCGTTTCATTAAATTCAATTGTACATGTTAGCTAGATATATTGATTAAACAAGTTAAATGAGAAATAACGTCACTGATACACAGGACAGGTACAGGGAGTATCAGAAACAGAAATATTAAAATTATTTATCAGCTCTGCAGAGGATGAGGGAAGGCTTTAATGTTTAATAAAAGAAGAGGCCCCGAAAATTAAAATAAAAGATCTAAACAGAGACACAAAAGAAAATGACAGATGGGGCTCGAGTCGTAACCTTGATATTCTCTCTGAAGTACAAAACAGATGAAGGATTACGGGTTATACATGGTTAATAAGCGTAGGGTAGAAGTGTGTGTTTATTTTTACTTATTTTAGGATAAACTAGATAAAGCATCGCGAGATGCACTTGCTACCGGCGAGATACTCCTACATCCATCCGCTGCGGCTCGAGACCGGGCTGACCATCCCTGAACAGGTCTCCTCATCCCAGCCCAGAAAAAAGCTTCCTCTTTTAAACCTTCAGCTCCCAAAAAGAAGCAGTTCCAGTCTGAATGTTTACAAAGCGCAAATAAACATGTCAGACACGCACAGACAGACAGACAAGAAGACGCAGCGGGACACAAATCCCAGCTTAGTTACCTTTAGCTGCCTCCACCGCACATAATAGTCCGAGGACCAGTCCGACAGCGGATGCAAATCGTTTTTCCTCTCGGAACCGCATCCCGACTTCGAGTTTAACCGCGGCGAAATCAAACGGAGCCTTCTTCTGCCTTCGTCAGTCAGGCGGAGTGTTTTCCTAAGAAGAAGAATAAAATCCAGAAGATGAGTGTCGGTTACCACGGCAGCTCTAAGATGGCCGTGCTCTCTCTTTAATCAGTGCTGCTCCCGGAGTCTGGTGCGTTCAAGGACCGTCGGAAATGAGGTCGACCAGTCAGGTGCACTGAATATTGCAGTTAAAGTAAATCGTTTGATTGCGAGTTAACAGGATAATGTTTATGATATATTTGTTTTTCAGTCATGTTTAAAATATTTTCTGCAAATGTCAACAGAAACATGTTAGATAACTCAGAGTCCAATTTTTTATTACACACATCCATTATACAATTATACATCGAGCAATGAAGAGTTTTGCAGAGCAAAAATAGCAAAATCATTCAATTTAGACAATAATTCCTATACACAAACAATGAAAAAACGTTATTTAATATTAAAACCCTTAATTACATTGAATGCTTTTTTAAATTTCATTTTTCTTTTAATCTGCCTATCAAGAAAGTACTCTATATTATTTAATCCCCGAGGCAACTGCTTTTGCTTATTTTTTCAGGGCACTTATATCTCTCAATGGTCCAAAATCGGAGCTGAAGTTGCGAACCTGAAGGTAGCACGTGTACGACGGTAGCAAGTGACGTCAGTGCTGTTATTGTGGGATCATGCATCTATTTACGCAGACGGCTGAACGGAGACCCAGGGCTCGTGCCAAATGCCTCTCAGACATTCCGCTGTAATAGTAAAGTTTAAGGTTGATTAAATTATAAAACGTCACAAAAATAAACTCACAAAACAAGGTTCACATTTAACTGTGTATCTGTAAAATACAACTTGCAATATGTGTGATAAACACAGGTGTAGTGTGGTAATTTATTTAAAAGGCCCATATCAGAAACATTAATTTGTCAAAATGTGACAATTAGTTTATGCTTTTCGTGTGTTTCAGGTTCAAATTGAATCATACAATCTGAAAATCTTAAATGCACGCTCTTCCACTTACTAGTGTTTCCTAAAGTTGGAGACAGGACACTGTGCGGATCACTAACCCTAATCTTAACCAAAGAATCTTCACTGAAGAACCTAAAATACACTGCCCTAGCTTACTCTCAGCAAGGGCCTGTAATTCAAGAAATACAGTGCAAGAAGCAGGTAGCTATCTTCACTGATCATTTCACCACACTCTCCTCCTATAGCAACACAACAATGTGAGAAAAGCAATTCCTTGAATTGCAAATTGGAGCCTACATTTTAATCAACACTCTCCGACATAAACGGCTCCCCTGAGGAGAAGAAGATGCAATGAGTTAAGAGCTACTGAGGCACGTCTACATTGCTAAATTTGCACAACACTGATCTGCGGTGATGTGGCTTATACTCATCTAAATATGTCGCAAATATTTCACTGCAAATCTGAGAAATGTGCTAAATGTCTGTCAAATTCTTTTAACAGTTAAGCATGAGTTTGTTTTGCAGTGAAATATGAATAAAAATGCCCAACTATTAGACCTGACCACTGTCCAGCAGCAACAATCATCTATTGTAAATGTGCTGCGATGAGGTGGCGGGCCTATAAACAGGGACAATCTGTGGACTTCAGGGCCGCAGCAGAAAGGAAACACAAAGCCTTGTTTGTCTGCAGTTGGCAACACATGAAGTGGTCACAGATGTCCAACACTCTGGGGAAAAGATCGAGGCAATGGTCATTGTTTCTCTGGAGAATAACAGCAGGCAGTAAAAAGACTTAAGAGGTGAGAGACATCAGTGAGTTTTCAGATGAGTGTCACTTCCTCCAGAACATCTCACCTAGTTGAGAGGAAGCTGTTCGGATTTCTGTGCTTAATTGCAGCTTTTCAACATCTCTCTCTGAGATTTTTATGACATAGTAAAAGTGGATCACAGAGTTTTAAAAAGTGGGACCCATTTCATATTTCCACATCTGAAGCATTGATATTTACTGGTTAAATATTTTATATACTGGAGAGGTAACACCATGATAGCTCATGAATGTAGAAGAATGTCCTCTGGTTCCCTTCAGGTCGGGACTAACATGGGTTCTGGACCATTAGATAATAATCTCTCTCTCTCTCTCTCTCTCTCTCTCTCTCTCTCTCTCTCTCTCTCTGTGTGTGTGTGTGTGTGTGTGTGTGTGTGTGTGTGTGTGTGTGTGTGTGTGTGTGTGTGTGTGTGTGTGTGTTTGTGTGTGCATATGTGCATGTGTGCATGCTTTAACACATGCATGACAAGTGATTGGCTCTTCTGAAAATAAAAAATAAAAACAAATTCAGACCTGTTCTCTACATCCAATCATATTTACTTAAAGTGACACTGTGTAGTTTTTGCCATTAATCTCTGGAAATATCCATCAAAATGTTGTAGTAAATGAATTAAAAAATGCCCAGTTTTTGAAAAATATTGCCAGTTTCATACAAATCTGTTAAATACATGGAGTGGGTCTAAGTCTCTGGGCGACGCCATATTGTAAGTTGTAAGTTTTTACAAAAATGGAAGTTTTTTGACTGATTTTGAGAGTCAGATGGAGGTAGAGGTGGCTCTGAGGGGGATTTTTGGTCTGATCAAACAGAATAAATGTTTGAAAAGGTCAACAGAGGCTGAATAAATCATGAAGCATATGTGTAAATGATCAAATCATTACTTTATAGCCAAATAAAACCCAACCCGAAGTAAAATAAAGCACGTCACACAAGGGACAAGGAAATAAAATAATAACAATCATTTTAAACAGTTTTAATTAATTAAAATTAACCAATTTTAAAATGACCCCAAATCACTCAGATTGTTTTATAAACATCCCTTTTCTGAGACTTTCCTGGTATTATTAGTCAGGTTTTCTTTTACTGCATGCTGTAAACAGGACATGCATGAAATCTGTACATATTCTCCATATAACAGAATTACAGTCAGACATTTATGACTTTAAAAAGTTTTCTTTGCACAGAAACTAGTACTCTATTCACTTAACTGGACGTTGACTCTAGACAACAAATGAAATATTTTTATTTAAAGCAGATTACAGTTTCTGAAATGTGAAATTTTCTGTTTATATGAATGAAAATCCATTTTTATGGCTTCTGGATTTCGTTTGACAACATCTGACACCTTAAAATTGTTAGAATTTTTTTTATACTTGTACAGATTAAAATGTGTCATAAACTAAAACAAAACATATCAGCACTTCCATCTTTTATATTACCCAACCAATGAAATTACTTCTTCAGCCTGCAGCCATTGATTTAATTTAATAGATATTACTTCACATTATAACAACTGTCAAAATGTACAAATGCCCAGTGGCTGGTAACAGTATTAAAGCATCCATTTCTTCCTCTTTCTGCCTGTGTGTCTTGGTTTGTGAAGCAGACGGATGCAGTGGGAGTTAAACTGCAGTAATCACTTTATCAGAGACATTAATGTGGGCTGCACTCAAGGCGGTTGGCAGCAAACAGAGCATTAAAAAGATTGTTATCAAGGGAATCAAGGTAAAGTGACCATTAAACACATAAGATTAAATATTCTCCTTCCTGTCTAGAGTCTAGACTGCAAAACTACTGCTTTCACGTACCTCCCAAAAGAGGCAAAGACACCATAAATTCTCCTAGTTTTCTTTTGAAAAGCTCATATTTTGCTGGAAGTCCCAGAAGATAAAATGTTTGGAGCCCCTGAAGCTTTACATAATGACTTCCTACATGATTTTATTTTAATGATGTGTACGGACCAAAATATTTGAAGTGTCTTTTACAAAGGCGAAGCTTACTTTAGAAAAGACGATTGAGCATTTAATGGCCCATGGGAAGAGCTCAGAAAAGTTATTTCAGAGGATTATAGCCATGCACGCCAACACGCCTGAACTTTTATTCTATCTATAGCTAAATCAATGTGTGAGTGTGTGTGTGTGTGTGTGTGTGTGTGTGTGTGTGTGTGTGTGTGTGTGTGTGTGTGTGTGTGTGTGTGTGTGTGTGTGTGTGTGTGAGTTAAATCTTAATACTTTTTACCTCATAAATGAAAATACTCAACTTTTAGAGAACATTTTTGTTGGAATATCAACTTCATCCAGAGCTGGACTTTTATCTTTATCTGTCTGAGCGTGGACGTCTTCAATCTACGACCAGGGGGAAATGAAATCTCACTTTGGAAGTTTATCCAAATCTTTCAGATGAAAAAATTAAAACCCCTGGGTGTGGATGTGCAGTTATGCTCCTTTCATTGTCCAACTCACTTAGTTTTCAGAAGGATATTTTATAACACGCCAATGATGATTGATTCTCTTCAACTTAAGCAAATCTCATTTATCTCCCCACTGAAGCTGTCATTCCTGCTCTTTCTCTGTCTGCACTCACTCTATGAATTAATGCACTCACTGTTTTTAAATAAACCCTCATTCATCAGAGTCGTGTCTTCTTTAAATATTGAAGGTAACCATGTTCAGCTTTATTTATCTGTTTTCTTTGCATATTGATGCAGTGCAAGTTTCAGGTAAAATGCATGAATGTAAAGCTTTATTTAAATCTCTTAAAGCACTTTTCCAACATCCAGTGCTTTTCTGTGCTCTTTAGTGTTTTTATGTGCCTCAGCGTGAGTTGTTACAGAGTGAAACACACGTTAGGAGTGAATCAGGCACGGAGGTGTGGTAACCTCTCAGAACACTTCAGTCCTCTCCGCAGGGTTGAAGGATCCTGCAGATTTAGCTGCCAGTCATCACACTGACACACATCCATATTAATCAGAGCTGTGCTTTAGTTGGTTCAACAATGTCAGGTGTTAGACATTTTAATTTAATCTAATCAACTGAATAGATGCCTAAAGTAACTATTTGCCACCCGTGTGTGTGTGTGTGTGTGTGTGTTGGATTCCAGATGGGTAGCTCTGAGGAGTGTTTGGGTGCCACGAGTCTGATGTTTTCATTTTTAAGAGCTTGGCCCCTGAACCCCACAGAAGGTCACCTCTGACACATGATTGGGAGGGTTTGTAGCAGGGGTCAGTGCAGTGACAAACTCTCACCTCCTTGGCTTTATTGCCTGAGAGGGTTTGGGGAGGGGGGAGGGCTCTGTCGAGGCTGTCACAACGCGTCCAATCAGTCATTTGTGATAGGCAAGGTCTCTGGGCTCCCCGGAGA